GGCAGGCCAATACACCATCCAATGCTGCTAATCTGCTTCACTGATTATCCAATTCCATATTTCTCATCGACCCCTTGAATCGTTTCCTTTTTACTTTTCCATCGACGCTATTTGCTGCTCATGCTACCAGAAAATACCACCACAGCGGCAGTCTTGAAGAGAGCACACCGGAATGTGGCCAATTTTTTTTTTTTGCCATGTACAAGGATATGATCGAAATTGCTGTCTAATTAGTAGGATGGATATGAGCATGGCCAGAATTTAGGGAAAGCTTGTTTTATACAATTCAATCAATCTGAGTTTTGAGTTGCATGTACTCAAAATTTTAACTCCTGATCACTAGTTCTTGTGACCAGGCACTTGGGAAACTACATAGAAGCATAATGCAATTTGCTAGTGCGCAAAATGTCTTATCCCCACAGCAATAAAACTGAGACAGATCAAAGCTATATTAGAGCGGTAAAACTGTACAGGGGGGCATCTCAACTACCTACATTATCTTATCATTCACCACCGGTAACCAAAGCCAGTCTCCTCAGACCCAGTGTAGGAGTATAAGACTGCAAGTCAAAACCTAACTACCACTCACTCGTCTTTCCTCAGCCAAAGCTAATCCAATCTTGGGCTTCCCTCTGGAATATACAAGTTGGCGTGATCTTCATGACTCTGCAAAATTTGATCAAAATACTTGAGCCCGGGCTTACAAACTCGGCAGAAGTTGGAAGGGTGTCAATGGAGGGAAGGGTGTAAATACCTTCTCATGAAACAACCAACCTGAAAGGAACGAAACCCACAAAGGGAGCAACTACCCAATTCAGCAGTTTTTCCACAACTCGGTTCAAGATTGTGCATCATCAGCATCCGAGTCACTCCCAGAGGAACTACCTGAATCCGAATCTGTACAAAGAGCCTCTAGCTGGTAAACATCCTATACAAACATTCTAAATCCGGGCAACACAGCTCAACCTTAAAAAGTAACACAAGAATCTATACCACTGGAAGAGGAAGAATCACTGCTTGAGCTGCTGGAACTGCTAGAACTACTACTGGCATGGCCATGATCTTGACCAACACCGTCATCTTTCTCAATTTCCACTGGGGGAAAGCTCGTTGCAGGCATGTCATCATCGATGTCCACATCCTCATCACCAGCTTCACCTTTCCTGGGTTTCTTTATTGAATCATTCCTTTCACTAACCGCACCCTGTTGCAACATTTACAATAAAAAAATAAATTCAGCGTTAGTACAACCCAGGAGAAAACAAATGAACAAATTCGAATTCAGAATCCAACATAAGGACGGGTCAGCATATATTACCCCATCAACTTCCGCATTGGAGGTACTTGGTACAGCTGCTGCATTGTTGTTATTCATCATCAATGCCTGCCTCTTAGTTTTGCTAACCATCTTCTTCCAATTGGTGACAAATCTATCTAGCTCCCAAAGAGTCTCTGTGTCGAGGGCTTCAATGTCGAGCTCAATTTCATCACCCTCTTGCGCCAAATGCTCATTTCTCTTCCGTATAATCTGCACCAATTGTGGCATTTTCTCCTGAGGTAAACTCTGCAGCCCAATTCCAAGCTTATGCTTCTCCTCCATACTCATCTCTCTCTTATTCGGATCCTTAGCCCTTGGCTTCGGCTGCTTCGTCATTGCCGCTCTTACAGCTGTCTGTGATGGCATCGCAGGAGGAGCCCTCACTGGAGAAGGGGTTGGTACTGGGGATTGTGATTTTGGAGGATTCAAGGGAGGTGGGGGATTGGAAGGGGTCGAAGCACTAGAATGAGCCTGCATTCTCTCCTGCTTCTTTACAACAGGGCTAGATTTTGGTTTTTTTGCCCTTTCTGGTGTTGGAATGTGATTCCAAGAACTTCCCTGCAATTCTTCTACCAAACCACCAAAACCACTGCCGCCACCACCAGAAAACCCCCTACGATTACCAATTTTCTCCTCGATCGGCCTGAACAATTCCTCAAATCTGGCCAGAAGAAACTCAGCCCAGCCATGGACTTGATCCGTTTTAGGGTTATACAACAGAGAATTATTGAAAGTCAACCGCACGTCCGCTGCAAATTCAGCAGGGGAAGGATATTTGGCCATATTTGATTTCACAGACCCCAAATCCATGGGCCTTTTCACAATTTGATGATAATCGTGAAGCCCTAAATTGACTGCATCAACAGGTGCATTAAATATCCAGCCGTTCTTATGTTTCATCAGCTTCGTCAAAATCTGCCTACATTCCTTCATCAAACCCTCATTATCCACGCTATTGCCAGCATTCCCGACGGGTGCCCTATCTATGCAGTTGGGAAATCTTTTCGGATCTTTATTGGATCCTACAGGAATTGGCCTTTTATTGCCAGGCAGTTTCTTGGATTTTCCGTGAGATTTGGGATTGTGAGCGCTGTTGCAGCCGCTGAAATGACCGGACTCTATTCGATCTCGCAAGTTTCGGATCTGCTCCAGCTCAGAAAGCAGGCGTTTCCGCAGCTCCGACAGCTCGCTTTTGGTATAGGACGTGACGTTGTACGTCATATACCGGCCATGGTTGAATCCGTTTCGGTTGATTTCAGTTGTTGGAATTTGATTGAAAGAGTAGGCATCGTCGGACGCCGTCTGAGTAACGGCCGGCGAATTGTCGTGGTTCTGACGGGCGCCGCCGTTGACTGCTTGAGGGTGAAATTGCTTCTGCTTCTTCTTAGGGTTAGGGTTAGGGTTAGGGTTCAAGTAAGGTAATTTCCCCATGAATCCGCCACCAGATTGCGCCCAGCTCGATTCATTGCCGCTGGCTAAGACGGCGGAGGCCATGACGTGCACCGGCGTACGGCAGATCTCCGGGGGATTCGATCCCTTTCAAGTTGTTCGAAAAACATGTATCTTACAGAGCGTCTGCTCCACGCGCTCGACGAAATTTCCCGGCAAATCCTCCTCCGGTCACCGGCCTCCGGCAGCTATTCCGGCTAAAGGGATCTGGATGAATTTGTCGTGTGGAGGAAAATAGAAGTGGATGCCAAAGGAGGTGTGTAGAGGCTAGGGTTTGGATGGATTGAGCGAGGAATGAGAGAGGGAGGGCAAGGCTTCTTAAAGGCGATAAGATCTACCCGTGAGATTTTCGGGCAGGATTGGGACCTTAGATGTAATTGTGATTGTTGATCCAACGGTGCACGTGAGTTTGTTTGCTGTCCGAGGGGGGTGCCCGGGATATCTGGCATATACGGTGGAGATGATAGGAACAGAACACGTGGAGGAACATATGGCGTTGGATAGAGAGGTTTCCTGGAAGAGAGGGGTGCGGTATATTAATTGAGTTTGAAGTGAATTTGGGTCGCATGTGTCCAGAATTTAGGGTTTTGTGGAAGAAACCCAACACACCCCATGCCCTCCCTCCCTCGCTCCCTCTGGGGGACCCGCGGGATGCTGAAATGGGGCCCAAGCGCAGGTGACGTGGAATTGGAGGTAGAAGACGTGAAGTAGAAGCAAAACGCGCATTCGCATGTGGGCAGCTGTCGACGTGTCAGGGAAGATCGTGTCAAACCCAGGGGCATCTTAGGAAAGTGACGACAGCGTAAACGTTAAATTAACGCCGAACGTCGTGAGACCTTGATTCCGCTTCTACCCTCGGAAGGTTCCTTTTCCCCCCTCCCTTTTAATGGTCCCTCTAATGGTCTTTCCCGTATGGTTACTACAAACATGTTTTTGTTTTCAATAACCACATGCACATATTTTAGACGAAACAAAAACATCATTCTGTACACATGTCACCGTTTTAATTGCAAAATTTTAGATAAACACATGTACATACTTTAGACATGTTGGTGATCTAGTAAGGCCCGTTTCAATTGCAACTTTTTTTATTCTTTTTTTTTTTTAAGAAAAACATACCATGATGATGATGTGACATACATAAAGTGAAAAATTTTTAAAAAAAGATGATTAAAAAATATATCGAAAGAATTTTTCTCACAATCTAAAAAAAGTCTGAATTTTGTTTATTTGTAAAATGTTACGTGAAAAAATAAAAGTAACCTGTTTTTTTTTTTTTTGCATGTTATCATTTTTTTCCACGCAAATAGCGCATTGACTTAGTGATTTTTATTTTTATTTTATGAGAAGCCTTGAGGACATACTTAGACAAAAGAAAAGAATATCCCAATCAAAATTGAAATAGCCTTGGAAGAGGTTATCCAATTTTAAGGTCATAAGAAGTTAAGATATTTAATCTATCAAATTAATAAGAATAATTATACTTATAATTATCAGTGTTGATATTAAAATAAATTTGTCACTTATACAATACTAAAAAAAATGATGACTCTACTTTTATTGATTACAACATTTATACTAACAAATTCTAATTTCTCAAAACTATTAGCCAAGCTATCACTATCATTATTACGGAAGTATATGTTTGAATAGTAGGTTATTTAGAATAATCACCGTAACACTTTTTGCAACTGATATATGTGACCATTGAAATAGAGCAAATGTCTTCTTTTTTTAATAATGCAGGTAAATAATTTTTAGGCAAATAGTTCCTATCCACACACGCAATGCTGTTGTTACCTTGGTAAATCAGAAAAATCAACTCTCCTAATAGAACGAATGCTTTTTTTTTTTTTTGAGAAAAAAAAAAAAGAAAAGCAGAGAAAAGCGCTGTGTGTCCATTTCGCCGGTATACATACATAGGCACATAAAATAAAAAAACGTTGAATAGAAAATGAGAGAAAAGTAAAAGAAGGCAACTAGTTGTTGAAAAAGGCAAAGTTGGGAATTCACACGATACAGCAGGGCGTTGCCGTAGCTTTGCCCACGTGTGTCCCACGATTGACAACCGAAATCAACTCTGGCATCACACTTTAAACTAGCATACATAGGAGTATTTTATTTGTGGACAAGTATTTTTTTTTTAATTGAAAGAAAAAAGGTGACGGTATAAAAAGAGTTTATATTTATATATATATATATATATATATATAGATATATGAGGACCCAGAGGCAGAGACAGTTCCAATCAGGACGGACACTTCCCTCTATTAAAAGCAGATCTCATCTCGTGTCTAAGATGAAAGATGATACTCTATCTATGTGATTTCCTCCTCCGCTGTCACTTCATCGAGTCTCTTTCCGCGCTCCCGTGGAAATGCCGTGGAAGCCAAGCCCCGACGAGCTTTCCCTTCCAGATCCCTTCTTCTTCTTCTTCTTCTTAAGGAATATTTTCGATCCAGAGGGAGGCACCACACATCCATCGTCTGCAGAAGAAACCTTAAACCAATATCCGCAGAATTTGAGGTATGGCGCCCTGATTCAGCTCTGAATTCCAAATCTAATTAATTACCATATTTGTTCTTTCAAATCTTTTGGAACCACTTTTTTTTTTTTTTTTTGCCTTTTTGGGACGGCCTGGAGGAATAAACACTAGTGAAAAAGCAAGGCAGAAGTGGCACTAGTAAAAGTTCTGCTGCTACGTCTCTAAGAATTTGCACCATGACTAGTCAAATGACTCCAAACAGCTGCAGATTACTGGTTTTCGTTTTGATTGATTGATTTCTTCTCAATAAATTTGGGGATGAAAGATCATTGAAAATTAATTTTAAACGAAATTAATAACCAACAAAGAAAACGAGTTAAAATGACGGGCGTTCACTTCAAATACTACTAATCAGGTAGTGTAATCCTCTGTTTACTTCAAGTTCAATCAAAGGTTTTTTTTTTCTTTAAAAAAAAAAGTCATTGGTTGAACCGACTTTCATGAAATATTAAAATATTTCTAGGAGGAGGTGCTGTCAGCTGGACCAAATAGACAAAAACAAGCCTAACCACAAACAAGACCCCACCACCACATGCTTAAGTTAGAACTATTTTCTGCCGTCTCATTTTGGGGCCGGACGGCCGGCTACTTTGAATTTGAAAAGCCAAAAATATGAATCAGAGTAAGTCGTCTATTCATATCATATCAGAGGCCAATTGTAGCAAAGATCGAGACTCGAGAGCCTCTATTCATGTATATATATACTAGTAATTCAAGACAAGGATCATCTCGTTTTGCAGATTGGCTTCTTGAGCAGGATGGGGATAGGCATACTTTGGTCTGTCTTATCATTTGACTGCAAAATTGACAGCATCTAGGGGCTGGGGGACGAAGATATTGAACTAGACTGGAAAAACTGAGGAAATGAGATAGTCTTGCTCATTAAAAAAGAAAAGTTCAAGAATAGTGAAAAAGGTGGAAATAGATAGTTTCTGGGCATTGCATGGAGAGGAAGGTTTTGGAAGGCTCTATCCGGAACCAGAAACACAGGAGATCCTGAACTCCCGTAGAATCGGAACAAAAATAGCCGCAGAGGCTACAAGACACTGGATATTCCCGCAGTCCCTCCTCTGTTAAGGTGCCATCTGGGGCGGCTGTGCACACGCGGCAAAATAAGGTGCAAAAGTAGCAGAAATCCGAAGGGGGATCAAAAAGGTGCAGAGGTTTTTGTACAAAGTACTACGTAGTATTTATTAGAGCTGCTTCTCCAAGAGTTCAAGTTGGAACTTTCAAGTCTGTCGGGGAGCAAACGATTGAAGGCGATCCATCCATACGCGATATCAATTGGCCGGCCCCCTTTTCCAAGCCGTAATCGCAAGCCACGATTATTCTTAATTTTGACAGTAACTGCACCTCTGGGTCCGCGCGTCCAAGCCGACAAAAGCGCCTCAAATTTATATAGATATAGATTTTCTCTTCGAGCAGGTGGTTGTTGGCGTATAAATTTACGCCTATGCCCATGATTATTGTGCATTTTAATTATAGCAAATATGCTACGACTAGCATCAGTTAATAATTCTAACAAAAATAATAAATATAACGTTAAAACAAGCATTAACGGAAGGAAGGAAAATACTAAATACAAATAATTACATTGACAATCCTTCTTAGTCAAGAAGGTGAGTTTATTTTTATGAGACCAACATGGGATGGTTCTTGAGGAGTCATTACTATATTGAGCATAATAGATTTTTTGAGTGAAGATTCTATAACAATCGGTGAAAAAGGGCATCCATCCACAGGACCGAATCACAGCTCTCTTCCCGCGAGATCATGCCACTACTTTTTGTGAGTGCCTTGGATTCTTTTCTTGTCAAGGCGGGTTATCGAGATTCTTAAGCGTAGTGATTACTGATTCAACGTTACAAACTCGCAGAGGATCTTAGTCGTGACAGGTCGGTTTCTTTGGCACCAACTTGGGTAAAGTGGTACTAGTGTATATTTGAGCTGATCAGAAAGAGAAAATGACACCCATAATTATTACCTCTTCTCTTCTTTCTTTTGGGAGCATTTACTTGGCCACGACTGCTTGTCATATGAACATACATATATATATACACACACACAGATAGTAGTGAATACTTTGTCACAACCAAAATAGGGGGCTGGTCAAGGATTGATCCCTAAAAATGCAGAGCAACACAAAGAAATAAAGGTACATAAATGAGTATGAGTTCGTAGCAGCACAAATTAAAGTCTTTACGCGACTTAGATTTATTTTTCTTCTGTCTGGTCTAGAAGAAAAAAGAGAAGTAAACATAAGATTCGGGCCAACCAGGAACAACTGTGAAATCACAATCCTGGCTAGGTCACGAAGATAACAGAGGGATCGCAGCAACACTCGTCCAGAAGAAAACAGCAACATAAAGCCGCAAGGCTGCAGAATATGTATAGCACACACGAAATCAATCCACATCCCTATTATCTAGATATAAAACGGTAGTGTAGTAAATTTGATCATTCCCATAAATGACCCAAAAGAAAAAAAAAAAAACAAACTGAAAATGTTCAGAAAACAGAGGAAGGTTATCTCCCGGACGCGTACCATCCCTCGAGAAAACCAGTCCCTTTCTTAGGTGGGGGAGCAGCTGTATATTGATACTGGGGTGGTGCCATCACTGGAGGCCCCTGATAATATCCTGTCCCAAGTCCCAACAGTTATGTTCTGAGCTCTAGTATAGCACAGCAAAGATAATATATGAAACTTTTTTGGACTCCACACTTATCGAATTATGTTATGTGGCAGTCCATCACTACGAAAGCATCAGTAGAGTAGAGGACAAATTGAGGACTTTCCGAGAAAGTGTTTTATTTACCTTGAGGAGCGTAGGGATATGCATACTTTGGAGGCTCGCTCATATTGATGAAATAATCAGGCTGCACAAATATATGTGCCAAACGAAACTTGGAAGTATATATGAATCTGCGGGGAAGGGGGTTTTAATTTAAATACAGTAGCCTGTTTTTATCTGCTAGTGCAAACCTTTGGATATATATACATACATACAAATAGCAGAGGAGAGGAAAAGTTTCAGGAGAACAAGGCATTAGATTCTTTTTCTTCTTTCCTGAGGAAAAAGAATCACTTTTGACAAATGGGCAGGAAAAAGAAAGCTCTAGAGAGAGCTGGGTTCAGTTTGAGAATTTAGACCAGAGTTTTTAATTGGACTCCCTCCCAAGCAGCTGTGATGTAATTTGACATTGGGGATTTGTAGAGTACCATCCGATGACGGCCTCCCCAATCAGCGTACGTAAATATAATGTTGGGCATATGGCAAACGTGGCTCAAAGAAATGCAAAAAGGGCCTGTAAATCAATCCCCATATGCTTATCCTTTACTTGCATTCTAGTCCAAAGCATATATTTGACTATTTCCCCGCTCCTTTATCTTCGTGAAATTCCAATATTGAACTTTCGGCTCCAGTAGTGAAACGAGGAATTCGACATTTTTTTTTTTCCAATGGTCCTTCTCTGTCTAAAATTTGTACTAGCTTTTTTGCTTTCGGTTTTGGATAAAAATCAAAGAAGGGATTCAACACGGATTTAAGTTCCGCTTGAGAAAAATTCAGTGTGATATATAAATATTTCAATTCAAACTCTTCCAAGTATTTCTCAAAGAGAAAATTATTCCCGAAGCATAACCAAGAGAATGACAGCCATCAGCTAGAGCTGTAATCGAATCAAGCTACTCAAAAACTTGATTCGGACTCGGGTTGACCAAACTCGATAAGCCGAGCAAGTCGACTCCGAATATTTAGATGCAATGCTCAAGGCTCAACATCGAGCTTTTTAATTTTAATTTTTTAATATATTGTTATGAAATGTTTCAGCTCATATAAAATTTTTTAATGGGCAATAATATTTTTTTGCTCAAAAATTGTTAAGCAAAATTAAATTTTCTGACTCGAACTCGATAAGGCTCGCATGGATTCGAGCCAATGTGAGTCGAGTTCGAGTTCCAATAATACTACTCGCTCGAACTCGAGTTCGAGCATTCCTCTTGCATGTCGAGTCGAGTTCGAATATGGCGATACTCGAGTTCAACTTGAATCGATTACATCTCTACTATGAACTATCATCAACTTGATCACATCCCTGCAATGAGCTAACTTCTTGATTTAAGTTCCGTTTGACAAAAATTTAGTGTGATAGAATACTTCAATTCAAACCCTTCTAATAAGTGTCTCTCAAAGTTGTATGATTGACTGGTGTCTGAGTTGAAAATTATTCCCGGCCGAGCCATGACCAGGAGAATGGCAGCAATCAGAATGGAGGCCCAGCTATGAGCTAACGTCAACGTTGGAAGATTTTTCAGAAGAAGAAACGGGCGGGAATGGACACACTAGAATATGCACGAAATCAATCAATTTTATTCATCAGTACTTGGTGGTGGTACGGTATATTTCTTCAGTTCTTTGTTTCTTAAGATTGGCAAGCAATCAAGATGTGGTGCATGATCCGATATTCTGATATTAAACATCCTTTGCTTTTGGTTTTTGATGTTGCGGAGGCGAAATGCATAGACTTCGAGCTATGGATATATATTAAAAATTAACTTTTGATATTTAAGATTTCCTCTCCGGATACAATAGTTGCTTCTTCTAGCCATTCAGAACAGGTATCCGTCAGAAACGTTCGAGCGGGGCAACAACCGGAGGAGAAACGGCGCAAACGGGCCTCTCCGATTGAATTCGGTCTTAGTTGGCATTGGAATAATCACAAAGTTTTATAAGAGCTTATTACATCAAATATATTATAGTATAGAGGAGGCAGTCCTCTTCAATTCCCTTGTGGGGATAGTGTTCTTGGGAAAATGAATAATCATGGGGATTTTTAGAACTCTTCTATTGCCGCCAGCCAGCCAGTTTTATGATATGAATCCTGAATCTGAATGCCACAATTGGGTTGGAGGCGGAAATTATGCCCCGTTTACAGAGATTCCTTTTCGGAAACAACATATACACCGGTGCAGGAAAGCTGTCAAATCCAAAACCACGAGAAATGTGAATCTTCTAAATTAAAAATTGCCAGATGGTGATGGCGGTAATTGGTGCTTGGCTAGCCAACTTTTTAAAAGAAGCGGCTGGCTGGAACACACACGGTTTTCCTGCCCCACACCACACGCTGTACTGTAAGAGATCATAACTAGCACTGGTAGAGTGTTTCTTAATGCTCCCTTGGAATTGATCATTTTTTTTTAAATAAATTTTTTAAATATAATAATATAGTAATATATAAATAAAAATAATATAAAAATATTTCATTCATATAATATATTAAATATTTTAAAAAATATTCTTAATAAAAAATTTTCATTTATACTGCTACAGTAAATATTTTTCAAAAACACTTCAAAAAACAACTAATCTAAACGGAGGGAATAGCGACCTCAAGAGGAATTCCTTTCCACTCTTCTTTTCCAATCACCTTTTTTTGTTGTTGTTTTTATGCCTATTTGCCCTTCTTTGCGGTACGAATGACTTTCACATTTCCAATTCGTGGGATTGGCTTTTTCTTTTCTTTTCTTTTTTGTTGGGGAGGGGGGGGGGGGTGTCCTTTCAAGTTGCATTTGTTTGCATTTTATAGATCCAAGACAGTGAGAAAGAATTAATAGTATAGCTTATCTGGAAAAAGACAGCACTCCATTCACAGACAAAAAATTAACAAAAAAACAGTAATTAGATGCACATAGTAGTAAATCATGTGTATATATCGTAATTAGATTCACATACCGTTTGGTCGCATGATCAGCTGAGTTGGACGTTTCTGTCTCGAAGACTAGAATTTTCGAGGCCCAAAACATAACGGGCCTTTCTGCAGATTGTCTGGCCCCCCGTGAGTATTTTGGTTAAATGTTTCATCCTAATTGGATAGAACGGTTTGACAAAAAAAAAAAAAAAAAATTGGATAGAACGACTGTGAAATACCCGCTTTGTTCCCAAGTCTCAACATCTATTATACTGATTGTCCAAACAAATGCCTGGACAAAGTTTTAGTCGCGTCGAAGTGGTAAATTTGCTTAATTTGTGATGACGGCCCAAAATGCATGGGCTTTTGATGGTGTCCTTGTGTTTATTCAATTATGGAAAAAGCGAATAAGATTTTGCATCTAATAATCTTTTCAAATTCTCCCATCGCTTTAAGACAAGAGTAATACCCAAGCACGATGGGACGAGGGAACGAACGAGTTTAGTGGTTCGGAAGCAGAAAATGTGAGTAAAGGGTTTCAGATTTGAACCCTTCCGCTTAATTACATTATAGTGGGGTCGAAAAGAAAAAAAGGAGATCATTTAAAATCAAAAGGAAACTTCCCGGAAAAGTAGTAGTGTATGAGAAGGCAATAGCATCTTTTCGACAAATGGACTTGTTTTCACTTGATGGTCACGCGTCAAATTCATTGACGAATCAGAGAGGAAATTATTGTTGATGTTTAGGGGGGAATTCATTACAATTGCTTGTCTAATTTATAAGCAACCCACATGGAAAGCTGGAAATATCTAAACCAAGTCAAAGAAGGTCAGAGAAAA